AGAATTGTACAGACTGTGAAAATGGGACTAAAAGAATTTTCCCCATCTAATGATACTATAGAGAGTTACTTACCAACCTATAGGACAATTCCACATGCCGGCAGACAACAAAGTCCCTCCACATTAATGGGTAGACAGACAGAGCTCTCATAACAATGTCATTTTCAACAAGTGAAAGTGTATGGTCTAAAAAAGACAAAGAATCTAATCCAGAGAAGGCGAACTTTCTTGTACAGAAGGACACATCACAGCAATACTAACGAAAAATGGGCCATGCGGATCCATTCAGAAGCAGAATGGAACCCAAAGATATAAAAATGGATGAAGAATCTGAAGGTGGAGATTATGAAGGGGAAGAGGGGATTAATGAATCCAGTAATGAAAATGAACAATCTATGGATGTTAATGACCATAAATCTGATGAGGAATCGGAAGAGGAAAATAAACTCAGACCTAAGTCTCCTATAAGAAGAAATCAAGATAGATACCAAGAAAGACAGTTTAGATTCCCAAGAATAATTAGAATTCAAAGATCAACGAAAGGCATAAAACCATTTCGGTTCAGACAGGTATAGTATTGTCTGTAAATGAGGTACTACTACAAAAGTAGTACGCCACAGCGAATGCCAAACAAGCTACCATCTGTTGACCTGACAACATCTATTCCAGAGAGTACTCTACTTCATAACAGGAGGAATGTTGTGTCGGAACACTCAACTGGTTAGATTACTTAATAAAGTATGCATCAGCTAGCGTCTCAAATGAGGAAGCCCAAAGAATTCTGGACAAACTATATATCAGAAATAAAAACGAAATGGTCGTTCGTCATCTATTCGCTACAAGACGCCAGCAGCTCTTCGGAAACTAAACAAACTTAGCAAATATTGCATCTTCCTAGCTGTTACAGCTGAACAATAAAGTACAGAGCTAGTAAGGGATGCATTTATTAATGGATTATTGTCAGTAAACATTCAACAGCGTCTATTTGAAATGAAAACCTTACCCTGCAGCAATCTCACAAACATGCAAGAATTTTAGACCTAGCTCAACATAATACAAAATCTTTTATTCCACAAGATTCTGAGACTGCAATGACCGAAGGACGTCCAGAAACCTTAGTCTCGCGGAGACGCACTTGTTTGTTTGTTTTTTTTCACACAACAATCGACTTTTCTGCTGATAGTTGAGACTGACGCGACTGACTGTGCCATAGCTGCCTCATTAAGACAATCTGGACGACCCGTAGCATTCTACCGTGGTCTGAACGGCGACACTCGGCAGTTGAAAAAGAGACATGCGCTATTGTCGAGTCATTTAGAAAGTGAAAACTATTCTAATCGGTCGCCTTTTCAAGCTAATCACAGACCAGAAATCGGTCGCATTTATGTTCAACCCTAAAACAGCTAATAAAATAAAAAACGAGAAAATATCAAGGTGGGGGATAAAGCTTTCTTGCTTCTCATTTGACGCAATAAATCGCCCCGGCAATGAGAATGCTGCGCTTGTAGTGTTCTCAAGAGTGTGTGTCTCAACTACCTGTAGAGATTAAACTATATGCCATCCGGCTGTGACGAGAATGGGCCACCTGGTTTGAATTAAAAACTTGCCCTTCTCGCTTGAAGATTTTAAGGTGGCCGTGTTCTACAAAAACAGCCACTCAAACTTTTGAAAGACTCACCCTGGATTTTAAGGGACCATTTCCATTAAAAACGAGTAATAAGTAACTACTGACAATTATTGACACCTATTATCTCGTTTTCTGCTCACTATTCCCTGTCTAGATATGACAGCGACAACCGTGATTCAAGTTCTCTGCTCTCTTTTTGCCGTCTTCGGATTACCTGCTTACATCCTCTCTGACCGGGGGACCGCTTTTATGTCATATTACGTCAAGGAATTCTTGCGAGAACACGGGGTGGCCGTAAATAGGACAACACCATACAACCCTCAGGGTAATGACCAATGTAAAAGGTACACTATCATAATATGTAAGTCAATGCAGTTGGATGCTGCTAACCATGGGTTCTCGATATACCGTTGGGAAAGTGTCCTCCCTGTGGCTCTATATGCTATTAGAACGTTGTTATATACGGTAATTAATGTCACTCCACGTGAAAGGTTCTTCTACTTTCTGCGACGAAGCTCTACGGTACTTCCCTCCCATCGTGTCTTTCGCAGCACATGCTCGCCAGAGGAAGCACGAACTGCTTATGGATAAAGTAGAGCTAGTAGAGGCAAACTTCCATTATGCTCGAGTACGCTATCCAGACGGGAGACAATATACTGTCTTTCTAAAAGATCTGGCTGGCCCCAGCGGGAAAGGAAGCAGATCCTGTAATTGCACAATAAGTTCCTGCAATACCCGCTACTGATATATCAAGTGATAATTCTGCTGTTAGCGCTCCTGATCCCCTCACGAGGAGTACCTAGAGCCTTCAAATCCAGGATCCTCATGATACGACCTTATTTCTTGGGTTGGTTTGGCAGTGAGCACATGATATGTCCGTAGTGGATATCGTTGTTGGTTGGGTTCAACGCACGTGTTGTTCGATCGTGGTCACTGTGATAGGTTGATTAATAGTAGGAAGCGTTGGTTGCCGATGTAACGGCGGTGGCAACGAGGGATTAGGTGTAGCTGGTAGGCCTGTAGTAGAATGTTTTAGTTGGTGTATCAACGAAATAGGGTCGCGATGGTGACTGCGAGGGTATGCCTGTAGAGAGTCGGGTTGCCAAGATGATGGCGGCGGAGGGAGGCCTAGAGTTGTGTGGTGACGACGTCGAGGTGTTAGAAATCCCGGTGGTTGGCTTCGAGTGTCGAAGCTGGTCTCGGGTTCCGTGTGTGAAGAGTCGGGTGAAATTAGGGAAGCCGAGGCGAAGGTAGCAGTGACGACGTCGAGGTGTTATAAACCACGGCGGTTGGCTTCGGAGGCCTGGCGGTGTCGAAGCTGGTCTTTGTGTGAAGAGTCGGATGAGATTAGTGAAGCCTAGGAGTGGTAAGATTGAGAGAAATGGCCATGGTGGTGACCGCGCACCTGCGTGTCGGCAGGTGGCCTTTCGGCTGGCAACTCTGTGGTAAGGTGGATTGATTCGTTGTGAGGCGCGTTGCGGTCACAATGGTGACGACGAAGAAGCTGGGTGGTGACGGCGTTGAGGTGTTATAAATCGCAGTGGTTGGCGTCGAGAACCTGGCGGTGTCGAAGCTGGATTGTCGGCCGCAATTCGCGTGTGAGTCGGGAAGATTGGTGAAGCCTGGGTGTAGTAACAGTTGTATCGAGAGAAGCAGTCATGACAGTGACAGCGACAGCGCCCTGCGTGTCGGCAGGTCGTTACGTGAGGCCTGCTTTTAAGGATTTTTGAGTAGGAAAAATAGCAATGTTTTCAGCTTTCATTTGTTTCAGTTGCTACAATCTTGTTTACTAACAAGAGACATTGTTGTAACATTTTATCGGATGATATGGTGTTTTAACTCTGCATCAACAAAAAAGCGAAATATGAAGCCAAAAGTGTAACAATTTCAGTCTTGCCTGTGTATCAATTCGCTGAGATACAATTTTCCATTGAGTGAGCGATATACTTTTGAATATATCTACTAGTGTTGGGACGATTAATCGGAATCGGAATCGAGAATCGGAAAAATCGGAACTTTTGGGGGTATCGGAATCGGAAAAATTTGTGCCTATTTTCCGATTCCAAAAACGATTCTTTTAAATTTTTAACTTAATTTTCCATTATTGGTACTAATGATAAATATTTATTGTTTTTAAATTATCACTAAAACCAAAATCATAATAACATCAAAATACGATGTAAATTTATTTTACTTGTATAAAGAAAAACAAAAAAATTAACTTTGCATAAATTCTCTAGGTAACCTTTAAAAGAATGCAGTTGATTTACAATGTTCCGAAAAATGCTTAAAAATTAAATAGAACATTTTTGTCAAGAAAAATACTTTCAAACATCATTGATAATATGGTACCCAGAAAAAATAGATTTTAGGATCGTTCTGTCGCAGTGTGCCCAAACACCACTCCCACCGTTTCTTAAACAACCCCGGCTATGCCTGCCGATAGAGAAAGGTCACGGCCCTTGTGTGCTAAAAATAGCAACGACATCCTTTCAAACTGTCAGAAACACACAAAACTCAATTTTCGCCACTAAACAAAAATAAAAGACCTTTAATTTCGAACCAAAATTAATTTAAATACAGTCAACAAACACCGAACACACTTTTGACTGTAATTAATACGGCCCGGAATTAATTATATTCATTTACTTGTTTAGCGTCACCGCTTTCTCTTGTATGAACCGTCATACCTATATCCCCGAGACTTCGCAGCGGTTTTTAGCCGGCCTGGGGAGCAGCCCGGCCTTCGGGCTAGTTTGGCCAAGACCAACTTGGACCAGCGACCCTTGGACGTGTTATGACCAAACCAGTCGGAAAGTTTCCACTAAAAAAATGACCATATCACGACTTGACCGTGGGAGCAAGTAATCCCACGAAAAAAGACAAGCCAAGACCAAGCCTGGCTTTCGGGCTGGGGTTGCGAATGGCAAAGTCTAGTTTGGACCATATCAGGACCTGCTAAGACAAGCCAAGACCAACTTGGACCAGAACTTGACTAAGCTTTGACCAATCAATCTTTGACCAGTGACCCTATGCGGAAACGCTTGGTTTTTTTGACCCCACGAAAAACGACCTTGTGTCACATCTTGACCTCGTGGGGTGGGTAAATACCGCCGGCCCGGGGAGAAGCCCGGCCTTCGGGCTGGGTTGCGAGTAATGGACCAGCTTGGACAAAACGACCAATCTTTGACCAGTGACCCTTTCGGAAACATGGTTTTCCCACGAAAAACCTCGTGTGGGAGGTAATCCCACGAAAGTAATCTTGACCTCGCCGGCCCGGGGGAGCAGGAAGCCTCCCTGATTCGCGACTTTTGACGCGCCCAGCAAGTCGATCAAGCCCAGCAGCAGTAGTTGTTCAAACAGTCTTTTTCAGGGCTAACTTCCCAAAGTCATTCGATCACCACTCTTCGAGACTCCACTCACTTCACTCTTCGCTACTGCCTTCCCTCTGTGACGCCAGCACTCCTGCAGCATCCAGCACTCCTGCAGCTTCCAGCTCGCTCCTGCAGCCTTCAGCTCATTCCTGCACCTTCCAGCACTCCTGCAGCATCCAGCTCATTCCTGCACCTTCCAGCACTCCTGCAGCCTTCAGCTCACTCTTACAGCTTCCAGCTCACTCCTGCAGTTTACAGCTCACCCCTGCGGCGCTTTACTGACGTCCCGCGACCTATTCCAGCACCCGCTGACGACCTTATCCAGTGCCCACTGACGTCTAGCGCCCGTTATCGTCCGGACACCGTTCAAACGACCTCTGTCTTTTTTACCACCGTTTGCAAATAAAGACACGATTTCCATCGTCTACAACGGACCATCTGCGTTTGTCATCCTTCTTTGCTATTGCCATCTCCTTGCCCTTGTGTCCCCTTTTAGTTGTACGCACACCTCTCGGCCCGCTGCAACAGTTCTATACGGAGATATAATTTTAAATAGGAACTAAGCGCTTCCCACCAAATAATATTTAAATGACTTTCTATTCGATAGTTTAAATGAATTTAAGTAAAAATGGCAGCGGTAAAAATGGCAACGGAAAAAATGGCAACAGTAAAAATGGCAACAGTAAAAATGGCAAAAATGGATAAATAAGAAAAAATGGCAAAAGGAAAAAAATATAGATGAATATCTCACAATGAGTTTATTAAAATCTTGGATACAATACATAATGGAAAAACATGAGAAGTTTGTCAAATTAAAAAGAATATTCAGCTAAAGCTCCCCCCCTCCCATGAGATTTTATTTTTTAGGCGATTACGTCTGAACACACTGAAAAACTTGGGGAAAAAACAATTATAGGTCCACTTGATGAAACCGAAAAAAAAACAATAAAACATTAATTATTTCAGAGGTTATCAGACAACGACAGGGTGAGACTGGTGCCAGTAAAATTTAAAATCTTGTCTGATGCGTTTTCAATCTTTTAATACTCAAGTGTGAAGTCTCTGAGAGGCGTCATATAGACATTTAGCAAATAGGTGTGAACAGAAATTCAAAAAAGGTTTGCTGAGGGAATAGGCTAAGTGAAGTCTAAAATATTTACTTCGTTTAAAACCATAATTTACCAATAAAATAATTAAATTCGATTCTGAGAGTCAACACGAAATCTGTGAATGGGATTCCTAACCTTCGCCTTTGCGATTTTTCCGATTCCGATTAATCGTTCCAACACTAATATATATATATATATATATATATATATATATATATATATATATATATATATAGTAACCGGATATAAACCCGGATATAAGAGAAACCCGGATATAAGAGAGATTTTCTCTGGTCCCAAATTAGAGCCTGTGTTAATGTATATATATTAGACCAAACCCGGATATAAGAGAAACCCGGATATAAGAGACTTCTTCTCCGGTCCCGACAACTCTCTTATATCCGGGTTACACTGTATTTTTTAAAAACTATTTTAAAGACATTCAAAATGTGTTTCATGAATTGAAAATTAATTACTAACATATTTTTTATTTATTTTTTGTTTCATGTTTAAACTTTTATTTTAATGCATTTTCATAATTGGAAGCTCGATAACAATGAAACGCCAAAAACGCCCCAGCGGCTATCAGCAACGCCAAGCCCAAAAAAAGGTAAAAGATGCATCGCTAAATGCGATGAAAGGGTCTTTGCCGAAGTGGACACAGAAACTAGAAACTGTCAAGAGTTCTATTGACGCTGAAGGAACTTCGCACGAACAACAATTCGAAAAACATTCTTCAAGTTCAAATGATAGCGAGCAACCGAGAGACAGCGACAACGAGCAAACTGACATTGAAGAACAATATGATGCAGCAATTGCAGCTCGATCTGAAAAAGAGTTTGAAACTTTGGCCGCCAGCACCACCAGTAATTTTTCAATATTCAACGACGTGTCATCGTGGCATATTCCTGTACCTGATAGTGTCAGAAATGATATCATCAAAAGGAGCAGCGAGCCATTCCAAAATAAGCAGGGACCTTTCAAGTCGGTCAAAAGGCCAGGTGCAAAGGTTAAAGGTGAATTGCGGCAACTCTCTACAGCTTGGTTTTATTATTCATTGTCAAATGGCGACAGGGTGCTACGCTCGTGGATGGCGTACTCGCTGCGTGACGGAAAATTGTAATGCTTTTTACCAAAGCTACTGGAACGTCTACTTTCGTCACTGGTTTCGACGCCTGGTGGAAGCTAAATCCGAAAATTGCTGAACACGAACAATCAAAGTATCATCTGTCGTGCTTGGAGAAGTGGAAAACACTGGCTTCAGGACTCCAGATGCAAACAACCATCGATGCAGCACACATTTCCCCGATGGAGAAAGAGAAAAAGAAGTTCAGAGACATTCTGCACAGAGTTTTAGATATGATACTTTTCCTTGCGCGACAGAACCTGTCATTTAGGGGACATCGTGAGGATGCATCATCATTAAACAAAGGTAACTTCTTGGAGCTTGTTAAATTGTTATCTCACTACGATGTAGTATTAAAAGAACATCTTGTCAGACTCCAGCAAAGCACAGACGGTCAGGTAGTATGTTCATACATGTCACCTGAAATTCAGAACGAGTTCACTTCTCTCTTGGCAAAATACGTGAATGGAAAACTCGTTTCTGACATCAAAAAGTGCAAAATACTTTGGCATACTTTTGATAGCACACCGGACATTTCGCATGCAGATCAAATGTCAACAGTAATTCGATATGTATACATTAGCGGTGGTACAGTTGAAGTGGGGAGTCATTCCTTGGATTTTTTCATCTGAAAGGGAAAACAGCTACTGCATTAACTAGCGATATCCTCGAGAAACTAGAAAACGAAGGACTGGATATTCAATTGTGTCGCGGTCAAGGGCACGATAATGCGGCATGCATGTCCGGAATTCACGGCGGTGTGCAACAAAAGATGAAAGACATTAATCTGAGGGCCGTTTTTGTACGTTGTTCCAATCATTCTTTGAACCTTTGTGGGAAACATTCGTTTGCTAACAATCCATCTTGTGTAACGTTTTTTGGAAGTCTTGAGGCGCTGTACACATTTTTTGCTCTGTCGACCCATCTCTGGGATGTGCTAGTGAAATACACAGGTCTAACAGTGCAGAGACTGTCTACAACTCGCTGGAGTGCACATGCTGACGCTGTGAAGCCAGTGATACAGAAGTTTAACCAGTTTGTGGAAGCCATTGAAGCCCTATGTGGTGTCGAAGAAAGCGACGTTTTTCTGGGGTGACGTTTTACAAGAAGTCAACTTAGCCCAGAAGTACATGCAAAAACCAGGTATTGCTCTGGACATGGTTGCTACCAAATTAAGGGCTCTCAAGGTCTTTTTGGAAGAGCAGCGTACAAATGTTGTTGACAGTGCCGTCCAGCAAGCACTTGCCAAATGTGAAGAACTTGATATTCCTACAGAGAAGAGAATCAGAAGAAAGAGAATACCAGGAGAGGAGCCAAGAGATGCTGGATTGTCATTGCAGCAGAAGAGAGCAATGTTAGAGTGTCTGGACCGTTTCCATATCGAATTGGATACCAAAGGAAAGGCAGTGAATGACATTTTGCTGACATTTTGTGCCGTTCAGTCAGACCATATTATTTGTGCCAAAGACGAAGAAATACACTTGTCTGTTGCCAAGCTCACTGCTGTGTATGATGAGCTGTCTGAAAAAAACTTTGTTTAGAAATTCCACGTTTAAGGCGACACCTACAAGCAGCCGAAATAAACTTGGAGGAAGCCAAGCACTGGACTGTACTGCAGTTCCTGCAGTTTATCATCAAGTGGGACTTTGTTGAGTCATTGCCATATCTTACGCTGACTTTAAGATTCTTTCTGGCAATATGTGTTTCTGTGGCATCGTGTGAAAGAAGTTTCTCCAAAATGAAACTTATAAAAAATTACCTCCGGTCAACCATGAGCACTCGAGACTGTCGGATCTGGCTGTGCTGTCCATTGAAAACGCGCTTACAAGACAAACAGATTTTGACGATGTCATTGACCAGTTTGCCACAATGAAAACAAAAAAACATTCATTCTAAGACCATAGTATCGAATGTCATTCTTTTGTGTATTGCCGTGTTTTGTATTTAGTTGTTCTGAAAGTGAACAGTTGCATTTTAAAAATCTTTTGATTTGAACTGATTATTTTGTGGTATTGGATTTTGTCTTGGATCATACATGTAAACAGTAACGTACCAGTCAGTAGAGTAAAGTAGAGGTAGAGCATGTATGAAAATTTAGCTACAGCTAACCATTCAGCATAGGGTGAATTGGGGTCATTGGGGTGACATTTGATCGGACCACCCAGGGTGACGTTTACTCCACTGGTTCTATGGTCAAATAGACCAGTTAAAGTTGATAGTGATCAAATCAAGAGATTAATTAAGAAGAATCAACTTTATACAATGATTAGTACACTCAAAATATCTAAATTAAGAATTAAAAATTATTTACACCAACTTGGTTATGTTAATCACTTTGAAATTTGGTTTCTACATAAGAAAAAAAAGCTACTGGGTCATATTTAAATATTGTGTTTCATTCATATAAGATAATGCTGTTTATAGTAGGGTTGAAAGATATTTCTCTACTATAAGTTCCTTTCAGAGAACCAAACAATTGATTTGAACAAGTACTGCTCTCAGTTAAACCAGTTGATTAAAAATGCATAATATTCTATAAACATAATGTGAAACTGCCTGTTTTTTTATAAAAACTGTTAAAATTTGTCTGAGATGTTTCCATTCACTTTCCATACTTAGCAGGTATTATGTTCTTTGATTATTATTTAATAAATTTTGTTGATGAAAATATTTCAATTCCTGGAAAACTGCAAAAGACAAGACCAGGCAGATCTATGCTAAGAAAATGAAAAGTTTTGGGAAGATGGATTCTATAGTTACCTAAAAGATTGCAAAAGATAGTAGAAGAAAAGTGTAAATAGGAAAATCTTGTTCAATAAAGTTAATCTTAGTAATAAAAAAACTGTTACTTAATGAAGAGGACAAAATTCCTATCCTGTATAAGCTTATAGGAAATATTCTACTTAATGTTTTTAACAGATATCATTGTTTTCTTCCCATGTGAAAATAGGATTAGGCAGTCAATTATGATTTTTTTTTATTGGAAAGCAGCTATTAATAAATCAAACTCATCTTAGGTAGTGGTTTGGAATTTCAATTGCTAATGCAAATTGAACATAAACCACATGCAGAAAACTTTTATTATTATGTTGATAATTACCAACATTGATAACATTGCCAATCATCTTAACTTACATTTTGTCACAAGTCGAGGGTTGACAAAGGAAAGAG